TAATGTGAAACGCAAGTGAAACTACACATGCATTTTATATATTATTTGCGTCAGTTAGACTCAGGTATTCTGACTGAAAGCTGCTTTCTGAGGTTGGGCACTGGGAAAGCTTGTGAGCACATAAGGTATAATTCTAAGTCAGCCTCCTTCTGTCCCTTGCTGTCCAGATATTGCATTGTATGGTGTTTGTTGACTCAAAACAAGCTTACAGCTGTACAGTGAAGTTCATGTTAGTCATCATACTTTGGACTGTGGAGAAATTTTCAATTTTTTTTTCCTTAGGAGTACCTTGGGTAGAAGTATTTTCATTAGTAGTATTAAAAGCAGACAGTCTAAATGTATTACAACATTCCTGGTCCCAATAGAATTAGTGAAATCTGCTACGTTGCTTGAAGACAAAGCAGACCCTTTTTTTTTTAAGAATCTTATGGGAGCTCTGGGATCTTTCATTTTTATATGTGCAAATAGGTTTTAAACCATGAATTTGGAAATCAGCTTTCTATAGTGCTTTTCCTTTTGGTTTTTTAGCTACTTGGACAGTCCTGTATTCACAGATAAGTTTCAGAAATGTGCTTGTTCATATTTCTTAAAGAGATTGTTCTCAACAGAATGTCCTTTCCCCTCACATTAATGGGAGCGGCAGGAAGTATGCAGGTGCGTGGTAGTGACAGTGAGGTACACTCCCCTCTAAATCTAGGGCTGCTAAACGGAACTAATTAAATCTGACTGTAATGGTTAATTTTCCAGTGTCTGAGGGGGGTATGTGCATTTTATAGTATTTGTAACCTCGGATTTGTAAAGTAAGATGCATCTTTATTTGGTTTATGCTGATCAGTTCTGTTCGCTGGAGTCAGAAGTTACCCTTGGGACCACTATTTAAGTCTTTTAAAGAATATCATTCCATGTACTAATGATGGCTTATGGAAATGGAGAAATTTTACAAATTATATAAATGCACCTTTTTCTGTCATCAAAGGGACCATGGGATTTGCAAGACGTGACAAGTTTGTGCAGAATGTTACTGTTCCTCCTGTTCACATGCCACCAGTAACCCTGGAAATTAATTTCTTACTTATGTGTGCAGTGGAATCCAGTAGCTGTAGCCTTTGTCTGCACAACTGATTTGCTCCTAAGAATGTTGTTTTCTTTGACATAGCAGCAAAGAAAGAAAATGCTGTTGAAATGTGGGAGGAAACACCTTCAGTGTTTTTGTTTGTGGAGCATGTTCATGTTTCTGAGGAGCTGAGCTTTGGCTAAAAGCTGAAGGCTTAAAACTGGAGATTAAAAAAAAAAGAAAAGGGAAAAAAAAAAGATAAATTCAGTGACACCACCCAGGCCCTACTGACTTGTGTTGCTTTGGCATTGTGCCTTTGATTGAAGCTAGTATTGAACCCTTAATTAATGACTTTTCTATGGATTGTAAAACTTCCAGATAGCGTTTCACCTATACAGCAGCCCTACTGAGGAAACAAAGAGATTTCTTAGAAAGGGGAATACATATAAATGCTCATCAAAAATCTGTTATTGAAGTCTTATACTAGTCTTAATGTAATCGACTCTACAAATGGGACTGTGGGAGTCTGTGTTACAATTTTTTTTGCTTTATGATTGGCTTGAGAGTAATAATCAATTTTATAATGAGTTAAAGGAAGGAGAGAAGAATAAATCATCACTTTCCCAAACACACTTCTTGTCTTTTAGCTGAGCCTCTTGGTCGAACTGATTTCTTTTCTACCTAATTCTTCCTGGGAAACTGAATCTCTTTGCAAAGTGTGGCTTCACTGTCCTCACCCTTTAAATCTGAAGTTAAGATTGTTCAGCGCTCTCTACCTTTGAGAACAAATGCTTGTTTCAGACTCCTGTATCACATGTGAAATGGCAAAAACCTAAATAATCTGATAAAAGCTCATCTGCTGCTTCTTATTCTTTTGCAAAGATCACTTTAATTGCTTATTTATTTTTACTTTCTTAACATAATATGTTGTGTCAGATTAGTCTCTGAGCTTCACAGCCCATCTCAATTCCACTATGTGCTCCCCCAGCACAACAGAAGCTTTTCACGTCTTCACAAGTTTTCTTTCGAGTACTCTGTGGTTCTTTGAACCAAAGCCTTAACTGCAGGGTCTGTAATCCATTTTGGTGTTTCAGCATACCGGTACGCTTCTGATGCTTAAGTCGAATGTTGTGGAAAGGCCATCTCTTCAGGCAGTGATGCTGTCCTTTTGCACAAAGAGCTGCCTTGGTTTCTTTCCAAGAGCTTGAGTGCCTTGCCTAATTAAAATAAAAAAAGTCCCAGCCCCTCCCAGCTATACTGTTCGCTTACGCTTTCACGGAGAAACAGAAATGGGTATGGGCACAGCCACGGAGTGCTGCACAGCTGTAGGACTTGAAAGTCTCACACGCTGGGCTTTAAGCCACAGCTCAGAAAAAAATACATAACTGTTTGCTCAAAGAAAATTCAGTACATGGATGGGGCCACAGCGTCTAATCTCTGAACTTTTTGAGAACTGAAGTCTCACTACAGGTCTTAGAGACTGGCAGTTTTGACAGGGGCCCCTCCACGTTTCACATGGCTTTCCGTTAACAAGATTTTCAACATTACATCCCAAGCTCACAGCTATATTTACTTCTCCAAATACTAGGCAAAGAATCTACTTTGTTTCCTATTCTATACCAGTGTGACATTGCAGTGATGAGGGATGCAGACAGGATAGGTTTCTGCAACTAACACGTTGACACAGTTTTGTGAATTTCTCCTGCCCTTTAAGACTACTTTCCTTCAGCTGTGTACTCCTAGAAATAACTCTACAGGCAATTCAGCTCCTGATTTCCAATGCCACACTCAGTATATTTAACAAGACCAGTAAAACTGACATGTCAGGGTAACTCCATGATGCTGTCTGGCAAGCTTGTTGCTTCAACAGAAGGGTTAAGAGTTTCCCGACTTAGGGTTCAGGAAGAATGGCTTGGGGTTTTTTGTCTCTGAAGTATTGCTAGAACTTAATGTCAAAGTCTGGAGGCCTCAGCTTCCACTAAAAACCAATCCTGAGTTTTTCAGAAATGGATGACTTGTGCTTGCCGGAAAACCTGCTGATTTGCACGATCAGTTTTCAAGCTCTGACTTAAAGGCATGTGACCAGAGAGAGACTTCTTACTGTTTTGTGCAATGTTCCCATCTTGGTCATACTCTTCATGCTGGTACGTGATGATAGAATAGATAAGCCTTTTCTCAACAACCCCCTGGTACAGCTCTTAAACCAGCATGGGGGCTCCACCCGTGGATGGTGCTCTGGGTCACTTACTCTCTGCTTGCGCTCCATTTTCCTTTTGTGTTCCCTGAAGTTCAGCCGCAAGGCAGCATTCCAGCGATGAATGGTGACAGTTGCTGTTGGGCTCTTCCCTTCAGCTCGGAGAGCACCACAACCAGGGTTTTCCGCTCAGATCCCATTCTTCCTTACCCAAGGCTTCAAAACCTTATGGACGTTTGTGGCACTGGCTTCAGACTTCTGCCACAGTTTCTGAAGCCTGTTTTTGTAATTATTTTTAGCGCTGCTTATCTATCATCTGCATGGAAGTCCATGTATATCTTGTCTATCCCTTTGCCATAGCATCTGAAAGCCTTTAGTTCATCCTTCCATATAAATCAAACCATTTGTGTCCCCCACACTGTGTGGATTCCTTTGGGGCAAGTACTATCTGGAAGAGGAAAATAAGAGATCAGTATAGTCCATTATAAGAGGATTAAAGAACTCTTATCCTCTGGAAGGTTAAAAGACACCTGGGCCTCTGTTCACTCAAAGGCACAAAACAAGCCACTGGACAAAGGCAGTAACTTGCAGATTACTTTCCAAAAGATTCATACTGAACCTGGCTGCTTTAATGCACTGCTGGGCTGGTTTAATTAGGGTGCCTGCTTGCTGGGAGCTAAAGATGCTATTAGAAAGGTAATGTAAGCAAGATGTAACCCCCTCTGTCTGCAGGCACATCCACTGCTCTCTGCTTTTTTTAATGTGGTGCTAGTCCTGAGTAATTGCTGGGGTACAGCAAATCTAAATTGAGAAAAGTCGGCAGGGGTCTGTGAGCATGGAGGGTGATTCTAGCATCTCAGTAAGGCTTGAAGTGGCAGTGTTGTATAAGCTATAGTTTCAGCAACAAACCTGAAGCCTGACTTCAGTATGAGCAAAAGGGACATTGACAGCTTTTGGCAGAGGTGTAGAGGTTTTCATTGGCACAAATGGAAAAGATACGGGTCTTATTGAGGATGTAGTCCACTAACAGTCTTAAAGCGTTTTTCTTTGGGGGCTGGAGTTTGAGTAATCGGGTCTTCCATATGTTGTCCTTCATTTGTACATATCTGAAAGATCTGATAAATGGACTCCATCTGTTCCCACTCTCTGCCTCCCCTCCCCGCGCCCCCCCCGCCCCGCCCTCCTCAGCAGGGGGTGGGGAGCAGAGGCTTTGGCGTTTTGTGCTTAAGAACAGGGAAGAGATAAGCAGGTTGTATGCAAAACCCCCTTTTGTCAGCACCCAAATATTGAAATAACACCAGTGACTGACATCGTAGCTCTGGGAACCAATCATACTGTGATGGCAGGGAGGACCCAGCAGTGCAAATACTTAACACAAAGCCTTGTGTTTGAGCAATGTAATAGAAGCTGAAGCAATGCTGTGACTTTGCCTGTATAAGTAATGTAAACCTTTGATGACCTGGGAGGCTTCTCCACTAACTCATAAAATCATTGTAAATGGATCAACTGAGGCATCCAATTGATTACCAGGATTTAATATTTTTGCAATTATGTTAGTATTTATTGGTAATAGTAATTCCAGTAGGTAAGAATCCACCTGTTTATGTGCAAAGATGAGTTTACTCCGCCTGAGAAGGTGAGAAGTATGCTTTTTTATCTTCTTTGGCTATACTACCAAGCCATGAAATTATATCACACACTTTAATAAACTTGTAATTTATTTTAAAAAGATCTGAAGATGTCTCAAGTGGAAATGTGCTTTACTGGTCACTAATACGCAGCTCTTGAGTGACAGCAGTACACTCCAGGATTACTTTGTGTAAATCTCCAGCTCAGCAACTGGAGATTTCTTGTGCAAGTTAAAAGCAAAACCAAACAAAAACCCCAAACCCACAGCACCGGATGAGGCTGACAAGAGTCTTTTTTTTATATAACTGGTCACTAATGGAGTCCCCTATGAACCTGTGTAAGTAATGACCATACCTCTGCTTTTCCACTAGTCATCTAATATTTACTTTTTGTCTAAAAGTAATTTAGCTTCAACCTCAAGGTGCCTCCTACAACCACGCTGTTCAGGACAGTGATGATTCTTGGGCCTTCCAGGCAAGCTTTTATTATTTCCACCATTTATAATGCCTTCTCATTCTGAGCAGGTGAGCACAAAACCCACACAAAGTGGTTTTGTCTTCAGTCAGTGATTTGGCCTTTTGCGTTTCTTTTGATGCTTGATTAGGGGCAGGTGGGGCACTTCAGAAAGGTGAATTTCCACTGTCATGACAGAGGAGAGAACGCTTTCTCAAACTGTACAGGCACAGCTCAGCAGGCTGCTGTCTTTTTGTATCCTTGCGGCAGCCTCGCACCCCCGCTGGAGGCTATGGGGATGGACGTAGTCACAGCCATCTGCCCGCTGAAGCTCCTGAGTGCTTCTCCCGTGCTCTTTCCATCCCTGCAGATTTGACCCAGCCATTGATGATGCTCGCTTCGAGCTTGCGCACCTCTGTGACGGATGGGGGGTCAGCTGGATTGTGTCCTCTAGAAAAAGCAGAGCAGTGTGAGCTAGTCAATGGGCAGCAGCTCTTTGCCTCTTGCATGGGGAAAGCCAAGCCAGGGAACTGAAGGACAGAGATACCTGTTTTGCACTTCATATTTATGCCCTGGAAAGCAAATTACAGTGTGACACCCACCAGGAGGTTGGGAAGCAGGCTTGAGAGCTCTGAGCTCTCCCTTGCATGAGTGGCTGCTCCAGGCCTGAAGGCTGATGGCTAATGCCAAGAGACGCTGGACTACTTCACGTGACTGATCGCTACAGGCTATCACACACTTGTGCCAATCCCTGTGCAAGAACATGTTCTAATGAGAGTACGTGTGCTTAGTGCTGAGTTCTCCACAGCCTGGCTTCCATGAAGGCTGTAAGAGCCCTGTACTGGGGAAGAGGATTGCTCTTCCACAGTTACGCTGCAACAGTCTGGTATCCAGTCCTTTTTAAGTAAAGTATCTCCTGGCTCTTTGCTAGCTGTTGCTAGCTAAGATCAAACACCCAGGGCAGCAGGATTTTGTCAGCCAAAGGAGAGTTCAGTACTTACCTAAGATCTAGGTGATGAGCGCCTCCTTTAATGGTCAGTGCAATTAGTGAAGGACTGAGGCTGCTATTTATCTGGAAGGAAAAGGAGCAGAGACAAACTCTCACCAAGTTACCTGGCAGAACTGGACATCAGTTCTGAAAACTGGAAGACAGTCTGGGCAGGACTGAGGAAAAGCACGGGAAGAGATCCTTGGTATGGCTGATACTGTGTGCCTGGCTAACAGTCCTAATGACCCAAATCATCTGTCTCAAATGAAGGCTTCCCCTGAGATGAAGACTGTCAGCCTATTTCAGTACAGGCAGTTTGAAGTAACAGGCTTCTTTGGGCCCATGTACCCTAAGCAGCCTGTTCCTCTTGCATCTGGGATTGCCAAGCCAGCCTAAACCAAGGAACTCCCACATTACAATCAGGAGGTCAACTAACTCAAAATCCACTTCTGGGTCATTTTTGTTTTTAAATTTTAAACTAGAACTCTGCCACCACTCTGAAGTTTTGTTAAACCTAAGCCAAAATATGCCCTGGTCTCACAAAGTATGCTGAGACTGGAGATAGCAAGGAGCACTTGGCTGTCAGCACTGAGACCAGGTCTCGACACAGAAACACAACGGGTTGTAGTTCAGACCCGGGTGTTGGGTAAGGAGGATCCTGCTGTGTCTGCACTACAAAGCCACCTTTGCTGCATCAGTGTTCCTGGCTGATGGACACTATTCAATGTGTCTGTCATTAATGTCCTGAGGCTCCTGAATGGTTCAGCATAAAACAGCCACTTGCAGAAACTCAAATGGGCTAAAGATGAATCGCCAGTGCTGCTTTGACTGGGAGAGGGGGGTGCTGTATCATCTGGAAAGGCTGCTCTCTGTGCTCGGTGTGCAGCAGTGCACATGCTTACCCCACCTCCAGCCCACGGGTCCAAGTCTCCATTTGAAAAAATGATGTTGCTTGCACTTCTCAGATCTGAAATTCAGAGCGATGACATTTGAGAGGCCTCCTTCCTGCCCATTTACCCAAACGTATTTGGCTACTGCAGCAAACATGGCCAAGAACAGAAAACACAGGAGAATAAAACAAATTCTTGGCAATTTTTAGATTTTTCCGCTTCTGTCTCAAGAAGGTACAGAAAGGTCTGTTTGGCTCAAGTCAGCACAAGGCTGTGACTTTTTGCCAGGACTTGTTAGTGTGCTGTGCCTGTCCCCACGGACCTCAGCTGGGCAGAGGGGGGACAGGCAGACAACTACAGCATATTGCAAAGGGATGAGCAGCCAGCACAACTCACCTCCTCCCCAAAAGTTTGTCTGCAGCCAGTGTGCTCGTGGCTTCACGTGCCATTTGCTCTGACAGTACTGCTCTCGCATGGCCTCTGTGAAGGGCATTTCGGGGAACATGTCGGTCACATTGTTGCTGTTGAAAGTTAAGTTAATCTCAGTGCAAACCTAAAAGAGAGGTACAAGAGCTGTCATGGGGTGGGGGGATAATCAGGGTAGCAGCTGAAACCTGTTGGTGTCTCCAACACCTTACCTGGTAGTCCCAGGCCTCAGCATCTGAGCCGATGCCGCAGCCCGTGGGATCAGCGCAGGACTGGTACAGCTGGTATATGTCGTAACACTGTGCCGAGCCGGAGGAGTTGTAAAACACCCCTGCCAGGTGGGAACACAGCACAAAGCCAACCTGTCAGTACCTCTCTGCTGTCTCACCCACTGCCTCCTACACAAGCCTCATGGCCAAGACCAAGCAGAGCAGTAGCTATCCCAGCTGGGCAAGTGTGTAAGGCTGGGGCAGAGCTAGCAGGATCTGCACCAGTGTTAGGTTAGGATCCCAACTTTCTGCCAAAGCTTTCACATGGTCTTAAGCCTGGCTGCATGTTACCCTTTGCTTCTGCTGTATCCACGGGGAGGAAGAGGCTCCCAGGTGCTCTCTGCTGTCTCTGCTCGTGCCAAAAGCCAAGTGACTGGCTCACTAGTCCTTGGGAGAGCCCTAGCTTCCAATCCCTAATGCACCCAGGAGCAGGCTGTGTACAGAACATTAGCTGAATGCTTCAAACTGAATGGGACACAACTGCTGAGACCTTCCCACCCCCTCCCTGAAAGCTGCTGTTGTCTGAATGCATCAAATTAGTCAGAGGGCCAAGGGTGGCACGTCACAGACAGGATTTTGTTTGACTGTTGTTCAAGAAGGGAAAGACAGCATGTGCAGGCTTGCCCGGATGAAAGAGCACCTGACCAGGCAGCCCAGCGAAGCATAGCTGGGGAGCTGCCGAAGAATGAGCTGCGTTTTTGTGCGGATGGGTAGTTACCAGATAGCGAGGAGGAGGAATGCAGCTACGCCAGTGGCTGTCTGCTGCTGCCAGTGTAACAGCCCACAGGCAAAACCTACAAACACTGTGGGTTTTGTGTGATAACCAGCACCAACAGCTCCATTTGCCGCTCTGCGAGGCACACGGCACTCTGTGCCTGCAAAGCACCAGGCAGAGGCTGTTGAGGAGGCAGGTTGCTTGCAGCTACTGCCTTTTGGATGGCTCTGTGGTGTGGGCAGCACAGCCTCAGCTCCCTTGAAGCATGAAACCACTGGTTCGGCTGCAGAAGACTGCCCAGGAGATACACCGAGTGTGTGCAGTGAAGAATCCTGGTGTTACTCCAGGGCTACGCACTTTTCAGAGCAATGCTGCTCAGCTCACAGGCCAGCACGGCAAGGCTCGTGTCAGACACCTACCTGGCGAAACTTCTGGAAGGGCTCAGCAGCCTTCGCTCGCAGCGCGCACTGTGCGACGTGACACTGGAAGCAGAAGGAGTTTGCTTTCCAGTCCACAAGATCATTTTAGCGTCAGCAAGTAATTACTGCAAGATCCTGTTTGTTGGAAACTTGGCAAGAGCGGGGAGCCCAGATGGTAACGTCCGGCTGAAAGCTGTCAGTGCTGCCGGGCTGAGGAATGTTCTCAACTTCATTTACTCCAACAAACTAGACCTCTCATTACAGAATATCGAGGAGACCTTCAAAGCCGCAGAAACCCTTCTGGTTCGTGAGGTGATCAAGCTGTGCTTTCGCTTTCTGGAGGGTTGCTTGAACTCTGAGAACTGCATGGATGTTCTTAACATTGCTAAAAAACTTGGCCCAGCAGAGCTGAGACAGAAGGCCATGTGCTACATAGGGCAGCATTACAAACAGATCCTGGCTGATCCTCAGTGCTTGAAAGACCTGGACCAAGGAACCCTTTGTGAAATTTTAGACAGGACTGACACCGAGGGATGCAGCGAGCTGGAGCTGTTCAGAGCCACTGTGAGCTGGCTGCAGCATGACTGCAAGCGGCTGAAAGATGCAGCAGATATTTTAAGGCGCATAAGATTCCCTCTCATTCCTTTACGGGATCTGCAGAGATATGTCCAGGAAATGCCTCTTATGAGGCTTGATTCAGGCTGCCACAGGTACCTGCAGGAAGCTCTGAATTACCACTCCCAGCTGTATGCTCAGCCAGTTCTGCAGACCCAGAGCACAAGCCTCCGCTCCAGTTCCACTGTGCTGCTTGTCGCTGGTGGCAGAACCGCCGACAACTGCATGTGCAGAGAGATGTGGGCTGCAGACCAGAGCTGCAGCACCTGGCACAAGGTTGGGGACCTCTGTGTGCCAGTGTACAACCACTGTGTCGCCACCATCAATGACTTTCTCTTTGTCATCGGAGGACAGTGCAAATTTGATCCCATGGGAAAAGAGCCATCAAATGAGGTAAGAAATCTTTAGCCTTGGAAAAATGTTTGCATGAGGAAGGGAGGGAGGGAAGAAGTGAGTCATTCCTCTTGCCCACCACAGATCTCCCACTTCTACATTTTCTTAGCGCTCTGTGCAGTACTGAAAGCCATTGGGCATACAGCTTCCAAACTCTCTGGGAAGCAATCAGCAATCTGCCCTGGTCTCACCTTGCTCCTACTGTAAATTGTTATCCTAATCTGTACACAACTTCCACAGTGCAGGTTCAGCCAGGTCCACGTCAGTGAATCAAGCAACCCCATGAATGCTACCCCTGTCCCCATTGTTGCTGCCGTGGGACTCGCGCTCAGGAGGCATGGTTAAAGCCTACCACTTCACTTGAGAACTGCTCCTTCCTTGGTTTTGTCCTTGAAAGGCAAATCTGCTTTAGCTCCCAGGACCTTCCCCTTCTGCCTGGAGAGTAAAAAGATTTGTCCAGGATTTTATGTTTTCCTAGATGGCTTCAGTGAGCTTGCTAGAAAAAACAGCATGTTTTTCTTTCCCATGCTCCCAGGGGGCTTATTTCAGCATTGTACTTAGTTCAGCAGTGCCACTGCAAACAGCAACTCTCTTCCACTGCCTTGAAGGCAGGAGGCAGCTCAGCAGCAGTGGAGCAGAGGATGAAGCAGCAGGGCCGTGGCACTGGCTGCTGGGCTATAGCCCAAGCCCAGCACTCACTGCATGTAGTTCTGCAGATACTGCCCTTGCTCAGTGACCTGGGCTTTCTAACCAGGACTGACAAAACAAGCTTGGGGAGGTATCTACTGCTGAACAAGATGTGAGTGGAAGCCCAGCCTTAGCAAAGGAGCTGCGCCTCTGTGGTGATGCCACCAGGGACGAGGGGAGGGGAAGCCACTCCTGCCTTCTCCTGGGTAGGAGCGGGCAAAGCTGAGCTGCTCTCTTTACTACACACTCAAACAGAAGCAGAGATGCAAAATGTGCTTGTTTAAATCTCATTGAAACAGTTTTCAGTTGACACATGCTAGCTGGTGTTTGAAACGAAAGTATTTCATTAAGCCAATGTGTTTCACCTCCTGCTTGCTGCAAGCTGAGAGCACAACCTGTTCCCAGACCCCCAGAGAAAGGTCATAACTGAACCTCCAGCTCCACTGGGAAGGTACTGCTGTATCAGCTGGCTGGCACTGGAAGTTGAGCCTGACAGGTTTGAATATAAAACCTTCCTCAGCCCAGGGAAAATGTTTATCAGTTCTTGAAGCCACAGGAGATGCAAGCCAGCAACCTGCCTTCTGCTAACCATCACCCATCTGCTGTGATCCTAGGTTTTCCGATTTGATCCCCGCAACACTTCCTGGCTCCAGGTTGCCAGCATGCTGGAGAGGCGGACACGCTTCCACGCAGAAGTACTGTCTGATTGCATCTTCGCCGTGGGTGGTGGGACACTGCTGGGGACCCTCACCCGCACCGTGGAATTGTACCAGCCCACAGACAACAAGTGGGAGTTTGCAGCTCCTTTTCCCATGCCTATTGCTGATCATGCAGGCACAACCCACAAGGGAATCCTCTATATTTCAGGTGATAGAGCTAGTAGAAAGCAGCATATTTTCATATAGTTTCGTTGATTTTTGCTGGCATCTTAGTGTCACAGTCTAAGCCTGCACCCACACCAATAACACCCACAGTTCCAGTGTCCCTTTCCTGCTGTGTTAGCACAGCCTCACCGCCCTCCTGAATGGCAAAAATTATTTTCTTTCCAAGACATTAAAGGTGACATCATCTGCTTGCAATCCACACCCCTGCTCACCCTTGATGTTGCAATCCTGGCTAAATCCCAAAGCTTTGCTGTCTGAAAAGGCAAACCAGGAGCAGGCTGCCATAGTGTTGGGGATGGGATTAAACCCTGGTATTAATCTGAATGGAAGATGTGAGACTAACCCTACGGCGCTGCTTTGTTAATCTGTACAAAAAGATGTATAATGCAGGCTCTTACCCTCTTACCCACTGAGCCTGTACAGCTCTTGCCCTGCAAGGGATCCTCAGTCTTTACAGGGATCTTTGCTAGATGGTGCAGGATGTTTAACAATAAAGCAGCATGGGTTTAAACACTTCAGGAGACTGTTGTAGGATCTTTAGCTTTTGTAGCTACTAATTTGGACTTAAAAAATAATCTTTGGTTTGTCCTAGGAAAAGCACTGTGTTGTTGTTTTTTGTTGCCTCTGCAGTTAAAAGTCCTGGGCCAGTCTGCCATCGCTGTAGGCTCCTCACTTCGTAAACCAGTTATGGCCAGCTGGGATCACTGTACTGATCTAGTCCAGATTAACTTCAATTGCACAGTTGCAATGAAGGGCACTTCCCCATGATGGACTGTACACCCCCAAGGGCAGGGAAGGCAGTACACGGGCTGTCCTACCCAGACGTGCACCCCACTGACAGCAGGGCTCCTGTACTGGCAGCGCAGGATAATGGTTCAGCTGGGGGAATGGCTGAGGCTCAGGTTCAAGTCCCTGCTTTGACTCAGCTGGCCCACAGTGCCACAGGCAGCTCATTTAACCTCTATTGGTGTTGATTCCTACCAGACAGCAAGGACAAAATTGCCTCACAGAGTTTCAAACATACCATAGTGATCTAGGCTGGATAACACTATAGCCCTTGGGTATAACATCTTACCTACCTATAGCATTCATTTCCTTCTAAACTAGTGGGGTAACTGCAAATTTGATTTGGCCAACCTTCAGCCCTGCCCAAGCAAACTGAAAAATTAAGAGCATTACTTCAGTACAAGATTTGAACACAAGCTCCATGCAGACAAAGTGTCCAGGCACAGAAAGCATCAAAGCCCAGGTGAGCTGGGGCTTATGGCCAACCTGAAATATCATCTTCCCTGTTTGCAAAGACTCTCTGCAGGCTGCAATTCAACAGGCAGGCAGCTGGAAGCATTCACCCTTCCCATAGCAGCAGCTTCCTTCTGGCAAAGAGCCTTTTATAATGCACCCCTGAAATATACAAGTGAGTGCCTAGTAAAGAGAAAAAGTTGACAACAGCACTGGCAGATTGGCTCTGACCTTCTGTCAAAGATCCACAGTTCAAAGAGCTTTGAATGCTTTTCTTCAAACCACCATTCTGTGACTGCGCATGCTGGAAGCAGATTCCCTAATTAAAACTCTTCCTGGTTACACTTGAAATACCCCAGGAGCTTTATTCAAAAATCTTTTGCGGAAAACTATTTACAGAAAGAGCTGGAACTGGTTTGTTTTTGGTTTTTTGCTTGTTTGTTTGTTTGGTTTTGTATTGGTTTTTTGGTTGGTTTTTTTTTTCTTTTTTTTCATCTTTAAAATACCTAAGAAGCTCAGGTTTTAAATTTCACACTGCATCAGCTCTGCAGAATGGTGTGAAATTTTAAACCTGAGCCTCTTAGGTATTTTAAAGAAAAAAAATCAGCTCTGCTGATGTTTGCAGAAGGTTTGCTGGATGTCAGAGAGGATGATGGATAGATTTTCAAGACTTCTGCTTTCCTTCTAGGGGGCTTCTCTGGGGGTAAAACCTTACGAGACACTTACAGCTACCTCCCTCGCCTCCGACGCTGGATTGGCAACAGTGCCATGGCTTTTACCCGCTGTGATCATGGGATGGCTACAGTCAGGGACAGGATCTTTTGCATTGGAGGAAGGACACTAAAAGGAGTAAGTTCATTTGCTCTTATAATTCCAAATCTGATCCAAAATGGGGTCGCTGTATTGCTAGGCTCTGACTGTTTTATTCCAAAAGGTTGACCAGTAACCTCATTATTTTTGGTCTCTTAGTGGACTGGCAGAGTTGCAAGTCAGGCTTATGAAAATGTGCCTGCCGTTACAATCATGTGCATTCAAAGCTGCCCTGTTTTCACACTCTATTTGCTAGGATACAAAGGCTGTTTAAAGCATTTTTTTAGATAGAGAAAATATACGGTGGAGGCGCAGCCTGCTAACACAGGAAAACCTAAGTGTAAAACTGGTCACGTACCTGCCCAAACACACTGACCACCTGATTTTCCTTGTTCGAGCTGAGAGGGGGCAAAACACTGGCAGACGGGAAGAGGAATGGACTGCGGTGAGGACACTAGCCTAGATTTTAGGAAAGATGGGCTCAAGTCCTGGAATGCAAATGAAGTCTCTTCAAACCTGGATTTCCATCTCTGAAAGAGGAGGGAAAGCACTGCCCAGCCCAGGCAGAGACCTGACAGGGACTGAAAGTCTCATTCTAGGAGAATCCCATTCCCTGAAGCCAAGAGAACTGAGTTTTTAAAGATCATTCAGCAATTCCCATTTGAAAGTGTAAAGACTCAGGGCCTGGCCCCATTTTACCGTGACGGGTATGGTTTCTTTTGAAGGAATGTGGGCATTTTAGTCTTAATTGCTCATTGAGAAAGGGATAGAAATCTATAAAGAGAAACTGCACATAAAGGCTGACATCAAATTCCTCCAGTTGTCACAAACTCAGTTATTGTTCACAATTCAATGCAATATAGCCCTCTTTAGATGATTTCCTTTGTAATGTGTTAAATGTCCGGAGAGCAGGCAGGACTTGGGCTATGCCTGTTCCAGCAGGTTCCTGTGGCACCTTGCTCAGCTCACTCCTCTGATTTTCCAAGAAGAACAAAGCTCCTTTAAAGCCGTGCCATTCTGGGATTTTATTCAGTTTCTTTTGAGGCTCTGATTGCTAACGGTGGATCGAAAATCTGGCACCTTGAGCCCCATGGTATTCAAATAGATGTTGAGACACTGGCTTCCTTTATCATGAACCAAGTGAGCCTGATGTGACAGTGATGCCCACTCGAGGCGTGATACGATGGGTGAGTGTTGGTCTGGTTCTTTGCAGGCGGAGGAATGGATTCACGTCAACGAGACGGAGTACTATTGTCCTGTAAGCAACCAGTGGACAACACTAACACTATCCCCGTTCAACTGCTGCCAGTTCAGCATCACAGCCCACGAGTCTACGCTCTACCTCACAGGGGGTGGGTCCCTGCAGCACATGCAGAAAGAAGACAGTGTTTTCCTGTATGACACAGAGGGGCAGGTATGGAAGAAAGCCAGTCCCCTGCCTAAAGCTCTGGTGGATCATGCCTCTTGCATGATTAAACTGTCCCAAGTGAATGCAGCTGGTGAGAAGGGGAGAGGCATGAAGTGCTCCCCCACGGGTAGGAGGAAGAAATCTACCCTCAGCTTGTTCATCACAGAGAAACAAGAGTCCCACTCTGCCTCAGAAAAGTAGTAGGATGTGAATACGTCAAGCAGATCTGACAGTGTTTGCCAAGACATTAGTATTTTAACAACTCTTCTAGTTGCCAGCCAAACATATTTAGCAGTGATTTGGAATTGGTATGTTTGACTTGGTGCTATCATGGCGATAGGCATAATTTGCAAAAAAAAGAATTAGTTCCCAATCCTACTAAGCTGCATTAAACCCGTAAGAATTCCTTAAAACAACTTTTTGTCATTCAGAACCTGTTTTTCTGAATAATGACCAATGTAGAACTTATTTTTAATGAGCAACTTGAGAGATCTTATGAGGAAGTCTTCAAAAGAGCTTTGAATTCTATCTCTAATAATTTCCTTACAAACACTGCTGGCTGACAAATTAAGTACTCACAGAGATAAATGTACATGATGTATTTAAGACTGTCTTTCCACTGGATTAAGACCGCAGGGCACTGTGATGATAACCTTGTCCTCAACAAGCAGACCAGAAAACTTCCTTCAGTGAATGTGTATTGAACCTGTGACTGCTTGAGCCAGAGTATGGGTAAACTTTTAGAAAAGAACCAAGTACCTTAGAAGTCCACATCTCACGGACAGTCAACAGGCTAAGGGGCTGCAATGGCTGAAAAACCTGACAAGGATAAGTTTGGAAAGGTGAGAGAATGAACCCATGGGCCACCATGGGACATCCCACTGGACAAAGCCAATATGGAGCAAAATGTCCCAGTGGGAGATCAGAGTCATACCAGCTCCCATGATACACAACCCGCACAACAATGCTACAGCTCTACTTACAGGTGCTTCTAGAAAATAGGGTGTTAAATAAAAGACCAAACTGATACTATTAACTCACCAACAAGAGCAGCCAGGCCTTGAATTGGGTCTGTGTGGGCAAGGATTTGTTCGCAGCCAACCTGGATGAGATACATTACAGGCAAATTGCAGACAAGATAGTTAACAGTCTCTGCTCCATGGAACGGCTAAGCTGGAAGACTCACTAAAATTATCACTTACACATTTTATG